ATTGCTGTCTTCACGGTGTCTGGCTCAGATGGGATTATGTCCAGGAATGGGCTGTCAGTACACTAAGTCCAAGTTGCAAGTTTGTGAAATAGCTGTTGACTGTACTCGTAACAGTGTGGCCGATCATTGCTGCTGGCAGTGTAGAATCCAGTTTGGGGTCTGTAACTGCAAGGACCGATAGCAAAGGCTGCACTCATTAATGACAAATTCCCTAGGCAGACGATTTGGGGACGTATGGCGATTGTGCTTTGGACATTCTGCTTTGATCACACTAACCAAGCATGATATGGCTCGTCCATTGCAGTCTTCTTCATCATTCACAATACGCATCTAGACTGAAGCCGTGCTCCCGAAGACGAGGATGGAAGCCACACCTGGTGAGACAGGATAAGCAATTCTGGGTGTAGCTTTTAAGATACACGGTTCAGGGGTGTACGTCGCGATTTGTCTTCCCCCCAAGTTCATGGACTTCCACACTATTCCACATTCGTGATTTGTTTCATCGACTCTCGTCAACCAGCATACCGAAGACATTGTCATGCGTTGTAGGTGAGCTAGTTGATTGCGTTGGATAGTTTATGTAGAACCAGGAGTGGCAGTCTCTCTGATACCTAGTGTCTGCTGCATGTAAATCACTGACTGTTGATGACACACGGAAACTGATATCGTTCCCCATTTGTCCCCACGTTCCTTGGCACGTTTTTGTGTAGTTCTTCTTTGGTGATCTTCCTCCCTTTCTCCTCTCCAGTTCGGCATAAGTAGGCTTTTTCCAACGATCTGGGTGTTTTCGGGAGTATCAGTCAGCATGCTTCTCCACAACAAAAAAAAACAATGTTCGTGAAAATTAAACGAACTAGTACTACCCCTATGACGTTTGAGTTCTTCAGAAAGTTCCTTAGTCTTTTGCTTTAGTAAAAATCGCTTAATATGGCCTCTGGAACAATGTGTGCTCATATAGTTCTTGTGACACAGTATAAACTCAGCATCTTCTGGAAGTCTCTGACTGAGTCCATCATCGCGTTGCCGGCTTGCTTCCAGTAGACCACTAATCCGTCTCGATTTGATCAACGGTGGGTTCTTTATCGCATCAGTATGTGTTTAAAAGTAATTGAGTGAGACACTGTGTGTGTGCATGTGCATGTTGCATGAACCAGCCTGTTCGGATCACGTCCTCGTGGTGACGTAGCGTTTTCCTACATTCTTTGTTTCTACGGAGG